ATATGCGGATGGAGGTCTACAGTTTAAAGGTTTATTGGTTGTTCCCACAGTTTGCCGCGAGGACGTCTTACGGGAGTTTCATACTTCCCGTTTTGCAGTTCATCCAGGTGGTACTAAGGTGTATCTCAATTTGAGGAGACAGTATTGGTGGAATGGGATGAAGAAGGATGTTGCACAGTTTGTGGCTAAATGTCTTACCTGCCAGCACATGAAGGCCAAGGACCAGAGACCAGCTAGTCTATTACAGCTATTGCCGGTAGTGCAATGGAAATGGGAGGAGATTGCAATGGATTTAATGACAGGTCTTCCTAGGTCACGGAAAGGAAATGAGGCCGTATAGGTCATTATTGATAGATTGACCAAGACGGCTTACTTTTTACCTATTAAGGCAACAGATGACACGGACGCACTTGGTGTACTATATGTAAAGGAGATTGTGAGGTTGCATAGAATTCCAGTAACCATCATTTTGAACAAGGATGCTAAGTTCACTTCGAAGTTCTGGAAAGGTCTTCAAGCTGCGTTTAGCTCAGCATTGCACCTGAGTACGGCATTTTATCCACAGACCGACGGCCAATCGGAGCGTACCATCCAGATTTTGGAGGATATGGTTCATGCATGCGTGCTTGACTTGGGTGGTAGTTGGGAAGATCATGTACCACTTATTGAGTTTACCTACAACAACAGTTATCTGGCGAGCATCGAGATGGCTCCGTTTGAGGCGTTGTATGGCAGACCTTGTAGGTCTCTTATTTGTTGGACTGAGGTGGAAAAGACAGCCGTTTTTGGACCCGACAATGTGCTTGAGACTATTGAAAAGATTAAGTTGATCAGACAGAGGTTTCTCACAGCTCAGAGTCGATAGAAGAGCTATGCGGATAGGCGGAAACGACCACTATCATTTGAGGTGGGAGATCACGTTTTCCTTCGGGTTTCTCCACGGAAGGGTTTGATGAGGTTCGAGAAGAATGGCAAGCTGTCGCCACGATTCCTTAGATCGTTTGAGATTTTGGACCGAGTAGGAGAGGTCGCCTACAGACTTGCTTTGCCGCCGTAGATGGACAGAGTTCACAATGTTTTTCATGTGTCGATGCTACGAAAGTATGAGCTAGATCTGTCTCACATTCTCGATTGGGTTGATGTAGATATTAATGACAATGTTTCTTACAAGGAAAGACTAGATCAAATCCTAGAAACTCAACAGAAAGAGTTAAGGTACAAAACGATTCCATTAGTGAAGGTTCTTTGGAGACATCACGGAGTCGAGGAGGTTACTTGGGAGCTCGAACAGGAGGTTCGCTCCAAGTATCCAGAGTTGTTTTCTCCCATATGTATGACTTGATTTCGGGAACGAAATCTTTTTAAGTTAGGGAGATTGTGATGTTTCCATTTTTTGACATTTTTCATTTTTTTGGGAATTTTGTCGTTGCAAGGGCATTTTCGTCTGTTGTCGTTTTTTGTGCCGGACACTGTGAAGTGTGCTGGTTGTGTCTGAGAGTTGTTTGGGGCATTTTAATGAGTCTAGGACTCTTTGAAATGCATGGGTTGTCATTTTGGCATTTTTTAGTTTTTCGGGCTGGACGATCTCGTGTGGGACCCGCTACATGGAATTGTTGCATACGGAAATTTTAGTTAGATCCATTTGCATCACATGCATTTTTATTTAATGTGTTTATGTGGGTTTTATGTGGATATGTGCATGTATATAATTTTGTGGTTGAAATTAAAGAAAAAAAAAAAAAAGAAAAGAAAATAAAATTTTGTTATTAGGTGGGACCCACCATTTTTAATTAAGAAAAAGGGAAAAGGGGCAATTTTTGGCCTCATTTTCACACACACACTCTCTTTCTACGGGTCTCTCTCTTTCTCATTCTTCCTTTTTCTTTTTCCTTCTCTACAAAGCTTTGAATCATGATTTCTCTCAAACCATTAAGAGATTTTTGATGCCATTTGCGGCAAATTAAAGAGCTTGAAGAGATCTACGGTTTGATCAGAGCCAATCTCCATTTGGCCACCAATTTGGGGATCTCAAAATCCTAGGGTTTGAGGTGATTTGGGGCTTTTCTTCAATTTTGAGGTAGGGGTTCCTAATCTATGACTTCTTAAACTTTAGTGAGTCAATCCTTCATTAATTTATGATTCACATGTTAAAGTTGCATTAATTTTCTCTAAGTTGGCTTAATTGTTGTATATGAATCACATGCTTATGTGTATTAGTTGAATTGTGTGATAAAGCATGCGTATGAGATTAATTCTATGCTTATTATGTATAAATTTTTGCAAGTTTAAGATATGGAAGCATGTTGATTTGTAGTTATGAAATCCCTTGTTGACATGATATTGGAAAGCATGAGACATCCATGCATAGCATAGGGCATGAAAAGGGGAAAATTTTTATTTAAATAAAAAGTACATGGTTTTTGAGAAAACGGTTTGAGGAAGGGTTTGAGAAAACTGGACGCCTAGGAGGCGCTTAGTGGTCCGTGGTGTTAATGTAATCTAGAGGGAAGTTGAGTTATCTAGGCCCAGACGACACCATGGAGCTGCCATGTGGTCAGGGATTGCTAGCCCATTCTCTCCTTGTGATGCCATAGAGGTGTTATGGGTTGGGTTACATTCACGATTTTGGAAGGATGAAATGGATTGGTTTTGGAAACTGGGGAGAGACACATCATGACATTACATCTCATTGCACGACATAATTTAATTATGATTTGGGAAGTTGATTTTTGTGCTTCGTTTACCCGGTATGGCATGTCCCCGCTTCTATATTGGAATCACTAGGTTTTCAAGAAGTGTGTCTTAGGCACCTCCTACTGAGCTTAGGCTCACCCCGTTGTTATTTAACATTTTTCAGGGCTTGGGAAAGAAGTGGCGGATAACGTTCCACCACAAATTTAGTTCGGAGATTTGAAGTTTAATTTGCTATTTATTTATTTATTTATTTATTTATTTTTTGTACTTGAAACTAATCTTTTGTAAAGTCTTATGAAAAGAATGTATTCGTTTTGTAAAGTATAGCTATGTATTAAGACATTTGACGGTAGTTATTGTAAATGTAAGACAATGTTGGTATCTTTATAATGTATGGGAAATGGAAGTATATTTTATGATTGAATGCAGACACATTTAGTTGTATATCATCATACATTGTTGCCATGAATTCGGAAATTACATTTTTTAACAGGTTGGCTCGAAAATAGTCTAGTCAGTTGATGTTCTAGCTGCAGGTAGCAAGTTCCTAGGGCCTGTTGGCCGGCTGACAAGGGTTATCAGCCGACCGACCCTCTTTTATCAACTGGCCGAACCTCTATTTCAGTCAGCCGATGAGCCACTATAGTAAAGTCCTAAGAGCATGAAACTTTGAGAGTCGTTTCGGCCGACCAACCATGCAATTTCAGCCGGCCGACCAAGGGCCATCAGTCGGCTGACCCTCCCTCCTTGACTAGTGTTTGACCCTCTTCTCTTGGGCTGTGATTTTGGAAGTGTTCTAAGCCATGTAATAAACTGAATAGTACCCAGGAGCACAGGAAATGACAATGGTATCCTTGTTGATCACAGGTTTGGGTAGGAACCCGATCAATGATCCGGACTCACGGGTTCGAGTCGTTATAACTTCCCAAACGTGTTTTGTTTTCGGATTCCTTAAAACACATGACATTACCAAGCACGTTTTCTTCTTTTTGATATCGAATTATCAAAAACAAAATAATCGTTATCAAACATGATTCCAATTTCTACTAATAACACACCAATATGAAAATAGTTATTTTCATATCATACTAAAATGTTATTGCGATCCAAACGGACCCTAAGATTGCCGTCTCATGGGGAGTATGTAATCTTTTAATTAATATCTTAAAAACTGGTTTTCTCATTCTTTGTCCTTTTTATATAAAATATAAAATCAAATCCATTAATGTAACTTTTCATTTGCATTCTATAAATTTGAAAAAGACCTATGACCAACTTTGAAAAAGATCAATATATTATGAAATCTGATATGCGCTATGATAAATTCACAACTACTCCGTATTAATTTAATTAAAGCCGGTAATATTTTATTATCATAAAAAAACAAATAGATAAATTTAGTAGTAAACCAATATAATCGCAATGATGGAATGACATTGCTATTTTAAGATCCATGAGTAATTCATGGGATAGTGATTGATATTAATTAGATAAATTAGGTAGTAAACCAAAATAATCGCAATGATGGAATGACATTGCTATTTTAAGATCCATGATTAATTCATGGGACAGTGATTGATATATATATATATATATATATATATATATATATATTGAAGTCTATCATTCTATTGGTTCCTCAATATGGACGGTTAGGATTAAATTCTTTCTCATATAATTTAAGTAACAAAGTTAGGAATGGTTGCTTGAAGCAAATGACTTGAAATTTAGTCCATAGATATATAGCTTATTTGTTAAAAATATATGGATTCAGTTGCAAAAAGGAAGCCTCCTGCAGTGCGTGTTCCATTACCAACACAAGGCCATGTCAACCCCATGATGCAACTAGCCAAGCTTCTACACTCAAGAGGCTTTCATACCACCTTTGTCAATACTGAGTTTCAGGGGTCCAGCGCCGACTTAGGCAGTTGTCTAAAGCCCCAACAAATTTGAAAGCCTCAAAATTTTTTATTTTTTCATATTATACCTTTTCTAAAATTTTTATTTCCTTCTTATTATCACTCCAGCCAATATAAAGGCCCAAAATTTGTACTTTCTTATATTGTAACTTTTAAAAAAAATTATTTGTTTATATTATAACTTTCCTAAAAATATTATTTCCTTCTTATTATTAAACTCTGCCCAATAAAAAAGCCCCAATTTTTTTTTTTTTTTTTCCTTATATTATATAGTCCTTAAAAATTTTATTTGTATCAATTATTAGACCCTATCATTCTATTGGTTTTTCAATTTGGACGGTTAAGATTAAATTCTTTCTCATATAAGTAACAAACAAAAGTTAGGAATGGTTAGCAAAGACTTGAATTTCAGTCCATAGATAGTTTATCCGCTAAAAATTTATGGATTCAGTTGCAACAAAGAAGCCTCATGCAGTGTGTGTTCCAGTACCAGCACAAGGCCATGTCAACGCTATGATGCAGATAGCCAAGCTTCTACACTCGAGAGGCTTTCACATCACCTTTGTCAATACTGAGTTTAACCATAAAAGGTTGGTTAGGTCAAAAGGGTCAGACTCAGTAAAAGGCTTGCCTGACTTCAGGTTCGAGACCATACCGGATGGATTGCCACCTTCAGATCGTGACGCAACCCAAGATGTCCCTGACCTTTGTGACTCAACCCGAAAAAACTGTTTGGTTCCTTTCAAAGAATTATTGCTTAAGCTAAATTCGTCGACTGAACTGCCACCGGTTACATGTGTAGTTGGAGATGCATTTATGAGCTTTTGCATAAAAGCGGCAGAGGAATTAGGCATTCCAGAGGTCCAGTTCTGTCCAGTCTCGGCTTGTTCCTTCCTGGGTGCCCTGCATTTCCGTGAACTCGTCAAAAGAGGCATTTTTCCATTTAACGGTATGTTTTTGGTTTTTAACTCGATAGTTTTCTTTGGTAGGTATTATGTAGGTCATGGTGCTATGTAGTATGTATGTCCTATTTTTGCTTGGTAATAGTTTCGAGGCTTTTTTTCTTTTTTTGAAAGGTTAATAAGATTGTATTGATTAAAACCAAAGATACAGAAAGACTAGTTAGCCCAGGCTAACAAAAGAAACAAAGCCTAGATACAGGGCTCAAATATTTTAGACCCAATCAACCAAAGAGAATAACAAAACAACCCAAATGTCGCCCAAGCCCAAATGTTTCGAGGCTTTGGTTGTGGGTTAGTGGGGTGAAAGTTCGATCTCAAGACGAAAGTCTTAAATGGGTGAATAAGGTGCTGTTTGATAAAATTGAAAATTAAGTGATTATCGGTAATCTAATTTGCTTGTTTGATTAATTTTTTAATTACATTAAATATATTTTAACCAATTTAACACACAACATATCAATCACAAATGCACAATCAATAAAAAATAAAGTGAAGTGGCATTTTGAAATTTTTTTTGAAAATCTCTTTTAAGGAAAAACCATGGAGACCTAGCTGTCTCTTGTGAAGGAATCCATTAGTCGGAGAAAGAGCATAATGAGTTCCAGTACCTTCTTTCTTTTCTTTTTTTTTTAATTGTTATTCACACATGCAAGCCTCCACCGAGACTCGAATTTCTGACCTTCCTTTCTTTCAAAAGTAAGAGCCTGATACCCCTAGATCCGTTGGTTTCCAGTACCTTCTAAAGACTCTCCGTCTGATTTTTAGTGCCTCTTGAATCATTTAGGGGTGATTTACAGATGCTCATTGTCCTCCGATCTCAATGCCTTCTATAATCTTAGTGCCTTCGGAATTATACAGTCTTTTGAAGGATTTGATAATTCAAATATGTGAATATTATATATATTATAGGGGAATTGATAATATAGAAGACCAGTGAACCCTTTTCTTTCTATTTTTTATCTTATAAAATGATAATCCCACAAGTACTCTTTGCAAAATGATCAATCGTGTTATTTATATCAAAAACATAAACAACTCCCTGACAATGATAACCACTCTTTTATGTTCAAAATTAAACACAGACTAGCTAATTGTAATAATGATGACAGGTATTTGTAGTATATTGCTCAAAAGCTTGATAATTATTTATTTCATGGTGTTATTTAAGAACAGAACTTCACTTTTCATGTCTTCAGATGAAAATTTCATCAATGATGGTACGCTTGACACGCCCATTGATTGGATCCCTGGGATGAGAAACATACGACTGAAGGACATCCCAAGCTTCATCAGAAGCACTAACCCCAAAGATATCATGTTCGACTTCATGGGAGAGGAAGTTCAAAATTGCTTAAAAGCTCCTGCAATAGTCTTCAACACATTTGATGAATTTGAACATGAAGTTTTAGAGGTGATCGCATCCATGTTTCCGAACAACATTTATACTATAGGACCACTTCCTTTGCTATGCAGGCATGTCCCTGATGGCCAAGCCAAGTCAATTGATTCAAGTTTGTGGAGATTTGACTCCAAATGTCTAGAATGGTTAGACAACAAAGAACCAAACTCAGTTTTATATGTGAATTATGGAAGTGTGACAGTAATCTCAGACCAACACCTAAAGGAATTTGCTTGGGGGCTTGCAAACAGTAAGCACCCTTTTTTGTGGATTGTTAGAGCTGATCTTGTGATGGGAGATTCGGCAACTTTTCCTGAAGAATTTTTCGAGGAGACAGAAGATCGAGGATTTATAGCGAGTTGGTGCCCACAAGAAAAAGTCCTCTTACACCCATCAGTTGGCGCTTTTCTAACGCATTGTGGGTGGAATTCTACAATGGAGAGTGTGTGTGGAGGTGTGCCTCTGATATGCTGGCCTTTCTTTGCTGATCAACCAACGAATTGCCGGTATGCATGCAAGGAGTGGGGGATTGGAATGGAGGTAAGTCATGATGTAAAGCGGCACGAAATTGTGACACTTGTTAAAGAAATGCTGGAAGGAGATAGAGGGAAGCAAATGAGGGAAAATGCCCAGGAATGGAAGAAGAAAGCAGAAGCAGCTTCTGATGTTGGTGGGTCGTCTTACAATAACTTTGATAGAGTCATTAAAGAAGCTCTTCATTATACAGAAAATTGAAACCAGTTGTGGGCAATTAGTTGCACCTATTGTGGAATTTAGATTAAATATGCGAGTGAAAATGGTAATACACTACAACAATGGTGTTATTTCCGACCGCAAAAGGCGTCGTAAAAATCAAAAAATAGTGTCGGAAAAGGGTATAAACGACCCCAAATAGGGGTCGCATCTTGTGCCGGCAATGGCCAGGTCACAAAAGCCGAGAAATAACCCTATTGCTAACGCTGAATTGGTGTCACTAATGGCAGGGTCACAAAAGCCATATTAATTTCCGACCCCTTTCGGGAGTCGGAAATAACCCTATTACTGACGCTGGATTGGCGTTGCTAATATGGGGTATTTGCGACACAATAGGGCATCAAAAATAGCCTATTATTTGTGACTCCTAAAATGGAGTCGCAAAAGACTACACAATTCCAGGCCTATTGGGATTCAAAACAACTTATTACCGACCCTCTTTGGTGTCACAAAAGGGCTAAAAATTATATTTTGAATATATAAAACCTAAAAAATTTGTAGTACCTACAATACAGAAGAAATTATATATATATTTTTAATATATATGCAAAAGATATTTTAAATAACAAAATTAAAGATCATAAACCATTTCAAATAAAGTTCAAGTATGGTTAAAGAAGATCTAAACCATAAGCCAGTATTTATAGAACTCATAAGTCAAGCACTAGTCCTGAACAAAAAGGCTTAGAGAACACATGTTCAACAAAAATACAAATCCCAAGTCACAAATATTGTTTCCATATCAGTCACAAAAATACAAAAGACATGAGTCACAATTTTTTCCTATGGAGAGCTTGGTGGTGGAACATTGCTTTGAGAGAGCAACCCTTTTAGGATTATGCTCATCTTAGCTTCTAATCTTTCCTCCATATTGGTCTCCATATCATTGATTACTTCAGTAGCATCAGCATATTTCTTTTCTACTACAATCCTAAGTCTTCTTTCATTCTCTAGCTCCGTATTAGGACGAGCTGGTGGGGATTTCACTCCATAGGCCAAGCCACAAATATATTTGGGCCTTTTCCCAAGAACTTTGACGAAGGCTTGCTTTTCCTTTTCAAGTCTATCTCCATCTATAGGAACTAAAGCCTGTACTGTTGCAATCAGCTCACCTGACATAGGAAACAAATAGGAGCAAGACCATAACTAATAATCCTATGCCCCCCATGCAATAAAAAGAACTATATATTTTTAGCCACTTTTTGGCAACACAGTCTATGAGATGATGATGTTAACTTTAACACCAAATCTGTACTTCAACTATACATCATCAGAATTAAGAAATGATTTTTCATAAGAGGATCAAGGTCAACACAACAAAATTCTTCCCATATCGAAATAAAATTTTATAGTTTAAGAAAAGCTTTTTCCCAACTAATTGGATTAGCATCCCTAATCCTACAATTGAAAGTAGGAATTGGGTTTTGGATGTTCAAGAGTTATTACAAAGGTGCAGGTGAAACAAACAGAGGAGAACCACCAGAAAGTTTTCCTATATCACAACATGATGCACTTTGTATGTGCTCTTTGGTCAAACAATTAAGTTGCTCAATGCATGTGTGTTTTTTTTAACAACCTAAATTCATTTCACAGTTTCATGACTTGAATTAACCACTGATGATTGTTAAAGGTTTGTGTCCAGCAAAGAGCAAACCATTTATCAACCTCGTGAGGAATAAATTTTTTTTTTTTTTTTTTTTCTTGAGCGAAACAACTGAAAAAATATGAGTGACAGATACAATTTTATAATTCAAACAAGTTTGTAATCAACCTAAAAATATTAAGGAGAAAATATATACAGATGGAAACTTGTGCACCATTCAGGTAAAAAAAAAAAATTGAAAAGAAAGAAGAAGAAGAGGAAAGCATGAAATGCCAGACCAACATATCATGTAGATCTTTTAGTACAAATTATAAATGCCAATAAAAGGCATAACCAGTGACCCAAGCCACAATTTCCCATTTTTCTCCTCTACTATATTGGTTTCAGCAAAATTATTCCCATATCAAAATAAGCATAGTTATGCAAAAACTATCATTTAGGAGCTATATACCCAATGACTTTAGAATTTAGACACCTTTCACTGTTTAATCTTAGTTTCAACCAAACAGAACACAGGAATTTTCAAAATGGTATACTCCATAAAATGCTGAAGTTGACACTTAAAAATAAAATTTCATTCAAAAATCATAAATTAAGTTCCATTTTAATTGATGGGGACATCAACAACACTTCATCCCCATATCAGCAATTGGATTTTCTAACCACAAAATGCAACCAAAAGAAACCAAAATTATATAGTAAAGGCTCACCAACAACACAACACCAGTATCTCTAACTTGCAAAGTATAAGAGCAATATCCCTCTCAAGAGCTTCTAGCACTTCAACCTTTAACGTCCTACAACACAACTCATTAAAGAAAATGCCAAGTTCAGCCAATGCATTACAAATATTATGATCTAAGCAACCACAAATGCCGAGTAGTAAGAGTCACTGCAGAAGAACATGCGAGTCATGACTTTTCATCCCGTATATTTTGCATTCTGCAACATTAACACACCGAGATATGTTAGATGCATATCCATCTGGAAATTTAATAATCTTCAACCATTCACAAAACTCCTTTTTTTCTTTTGTTGACATTATGTAACGTGCAGGTGGCATCACATATTTTGCACCAGTAAAGATAAGATGCAATTCTTTTCGTATTCCCATCTCTTGTAAATCCAGACGAGTGATGCACACAAACGTGTACCACTTAAAAATGCCACTTATAACAATAGCACATTCATCATTACAGATTAATGCTATAGTACAAAGTTGTCGAACCACAAGGATTGCTAGTTTATGGCAAACAGAATTGTAAAAGTACTTCCTAATTTGATAGTAACGATGATAATTCAATTGGTTTGTCCCTTAACCTACGAATTGAAATTTCATAAAACAGTAAATAATGTGATTAGAATAGATTGAACTTATAAAGAGAAGGCTAGGGAATTGACTTCACCTCAGCCTCATAAACATGGTAAATTGCACTCAACTTGGGGATAAACAATTATATATATAGATAATGATGTGTAGAAGTATAAAAACTACCACAACATCGTCAAGAAGATCATATATCTCAGGGCTAAGCATAACCCATCTTTGGTTAGCATGGTTCATCCACCTAAACTAGGTTGTGGTATGAACCATCTTCCCTAGGCATGGCCTATCAAGGTCCTTCAATGGTATACTTGCAGCACAGGAAATTAATTAAATATCATAAATTATCTTTAGTTGGTATGGACCATGTACCTAACTATATTAATCTAAGGGTGTAGTATGGTCCATCTTCCTTAAACATAACCTATATAAATGCTCAATTGCATGCCAATATAATCATTCCATAAATTCTTTCCCATTGTCACTATAAGAAATCAAGTGTATAATTATGCCAATATGATTTCTAAGACAAGATAACAAATCAACAAAATTATATATTTAAATGATAATCAAATACATCAATTCAATGTAAACTACATCAATTTAATGTAAACCCTTCTAATTTATGAAACTTAATATATACAATAAGAATCCCCAAATTGAAATATAATTTAACACATGTTTACTTGGTCTAGGTTACATCAACTCCCTAGAAAGGGATTTAGCCGCTCATGGATATGGCAACAACCTCCAGGATTGAAGAAGAGAAGAAAATCCCCTCTCTCACCATTGTTGTAAAGCTTAGCCTCAAGAATCCTAAAAATCCTCTCTCACACAATATCTCTTCAAAAACCAAAACTAACTAACTTTCTTCAAGCCTTTCCCCCTCTTTTATCCTTATGTGAGTTTCAAAATACAAATCTCTTGTTTAAAATTCGAATTTCCACTCAAGATAGAACAAAATCGGACTTAATTAAAATGGTGGCCCGTGGTTTCACGTCCGGACGCAAAGACTGGCGTCCGGATGCGAGGCCCTGATGATTTGGCGTCCGGACGCCAAAACGTGCGTCCGGACGCGAGCTATTAGAAGGTAGCGTCCGGATGCCAGTTCTTACGTTCGGACACCAGGTATGCTACTTTGGTTTCTTCCTCTTTCGAACGCCAAAACGTACGTCCGGACGCGAGCTATTGGAAGGTGGCGTCCAAATGCCAGTTCTTACGTCCGAACGCCAGGCATGCTACTTTGGTTTCTTCCTCTTTCCCTTTGGTTGCATCCAACGCCTCTTCATGTCATTTCTCCTTGATAATCACTTGCTATGTAGGCCCGATATAACTTGTGCTCCAAAAACCCTTAAAACCTTATTTTTATTCCTTTTTTGCAATTAGACTTGCAAAAACACAAACATAAAAATAGAGGTAATATATATACAAAGATCAAATAATGGGCTTACCCCATGCAATTAAGGGCATTTAAATATGCAATATTTGACGCTTATCAGACCCCCAAACTTACATTTTGCTAGTCCCTTAGCAAAACAAAATTGAAACACAAATTTCTCCTCTTTCGTGAAAGTGACGATTACATTTAGCATATGTAACAAACCTTTTAAACCCCTAGGCATCCCTAGAGGATGAGTGCAGTCTCATGAGGGTTTACCAAAAATGATACCCACAAACACTAAGTAACAAGGCTCATTCTAGTATACATTGAAAGATGTGACTTTGGGGAAAAATCTAATCATGAAGACTACAACAAGTATGCATACAATGATATCTCAAAACAATATTCAATTCCCAACATTTATGCATCAACAGACTAGTCCACATACATGATCTTCAATATCTCATTTATAATATAATTTCATCTCCAGATCCTTAGAAGTGAACTGAAATTTCATTTTCTATTAAAATACACTTTTAACCCGTTTATGGCTCATTCAATGTCTTCCACATTCTTAATCCATCTTTTGAAATCATAATCCAAGGCATGTATTTATTTGAACACATTTTGTGTTTTTATTTATTTTTATTATTATTATTATTATTTTTTTTTTTTTTTTTTTTTTTGTGCATGACCATGTGCAATGTCTAAGTTCTTTAAACTTTTTAACCACCTTATGTAACAAGTGTTAAGCC